TTCTTTTCAAACTTTTCTTCAAACTCTCATATTCATAAAAATGTATGGTTATCCCGTTCAGTGATATTTTCCAACTTTGTGCGTCTCCAAATTCACAGCCCATTTTCACATGATAATTTCAAACTTTTTAAACTTTGATAATGTTTTACTTGCGGCACGTATTTCATTCAAAATTTAAAACTTTCTAGAATCTCGTTTAAGTACATTCTATTTTTCCAAAGTAGGAGTGGAATTATATATTTCGAATTATTGATTCTGTTCGTATCTAGTTTATATTTCAATTGTATGTAAGTACTCTTAATCAAAACCACTAAAATTAAAACACTTCTTTTGTCAAGCTGTCAATATCATAGGTGTATATTCATTATTATGGTAGGTAAATAAATCCAAGCAAGTGTTCACAAGAGATTTAATGGCAGAAATGTAGATATTATTGTAGTATTGAAGTGGTTCTAGTTAAGTATTTGGATTTAATCAATTTGATTCAAGTCAGTCATACCCTCCTCTCATAAACACAGAAGTTTTATTTCAGTCGTGTGATCTAAAGCAGACTCGGTTTTTTATCGTCGATGTTCTGGTTCTAAATCTGTCTTTTTAGAATATCCATCTAACATAACTCCTTATTAGGCTTCGCCATTTTTGTGTTCGACTGAAAACAAATATATTCAGGAAATCAAGTAGGACTTTCTGATATAATATCAAAAGAAACAAACGAAGTTTGACTGCGGAATTGATGATTATATTGCGTTTTGCGTGTATAAGTTCTCCGTGCTGCGTAGAACTTCCGCTATCAGCCATTCATCAAATGCCTCTTAATGTGAAGGGTGCAATATTGTCGATAATTCATTCCAAAAGGAAAAGAAAATTGTTATCGTAAAAGGGAATAATAAAAAGCTATAGCTGTATCGTTCACGTTATGACGTAACTTCTCGTTGGGAATGTGGTTTATTGGTTATTGGTTTGTTTGAAATGCGAATACAGCCGGAATCCTTTTTATAGAATTTGAATTGACAATTGAATTTTCGTGCAAACGTTGCGAAATGAAATATTCTGTTTCCAGAAATTATAACCAATTCAATTGAATGGGTGTTTCTCGGCGAGGACCAGTTGAATATATTTTTCAATAAATACGGGGGTGGTCCCAGAATTACCAGGCCAACAGAGAAAACACAAACATTTTTGAAAAAAATGTTTTTATTTTTCAAAAAATCTCCTTTCACCTCTAAACATTTTCCCAACGACGTTTGATACGTTTTTCATAATAATAACTGTCTTGCTCCTCAAAATAGCCATCAGCTGCCGACATCACTTCTTCATCGTTGAAAAATCTTGAACCACTGAGCCATTTTTTCAAGTTTGGAAACAGAAAATAATCCGAAGGGGCTAAATCTGGCGAATAGGGTGCATGAGGTAGCAATTCAAACTTTAAAAACCGGGACACACTTCTTCATACACCTCCCCGATCCGACTCCGTTTGATTTTGCCCTAAAAGCGGATCGGTGTAGGATCGCCAGTGGGTAATCATACTTGTCATACATGCTTCCTACTTCTTTCCGATTTACCGCTCCGGCTTGACACCGGAACAGCGGTACAGCTCTTCAGTCTGGTCATACAGAACTGGATATTTTCTGACTTGTTCAATAAGCTACTTCGGTATCATACAAACTCCAAGCGATACGTGTCCCGCAGCTGGAGAACAAATAGACTGCACGATCGGATCATGATCGGATACAGGAACGGAGTCGGATGGGAGCGGGGTTGGCCACGTATCGGAACGATGTGAACTACTCTGTTCGGACTAAAGTACCATTTTCCTCTCAGACACTCGTCCGACTGTATGATGGGAGTCGGATGTGAAGGGTGTATGACAGGTGTGTCACGGCCTTCAGTCCTTTGTGTTAATTACTGAAATGTGTGAGTGTGATGAATAAAGGGCCCCCTATATTCACGCCGGTTCCAGGCCGGGGTGGTTCGTATAACCACGTAAAGGGGGCTGTATATGTGGAAAAAAACCAAAAGGTCTCCCAAGCAGGAGGTGATTTTATAAAAATCAAATTGTTTTTATAATAAAAAAAAGTTCGACAAACAATTGGTGGCAGCATTGCTTCGTGCAAGACCGCTACGCCCTCCGACGAAGCTCCTGTCAACCAACAGGAGGAGCATTGGTCATTGCGCCTGAAGAAAGAAAGCAAGGACCATCCAAAATAGAGAGAGACAAGTCCACTGTTTTGATTGTTTTTTTGTCTCGGGTGTGAAGTGATGGACCCATGTTTCATCCATTGTTATGAACCGATGCAAGAATACTGCTTTGTTGCTGTGAAACTTCACTAAACACTCAATTGAATCATTTTCACGGCACTGTTTTTGCTCGAGTGTAAGCAAATGCGGCACCCATCTTGCATACAGCTTTCTCATGTCCAAATTCTCGCACACTTTCAGTCGACGATCATTCAGTACCGCTTTGTGGATTTTCTTCGCCGTTTCTGAAGTCGTCACCTCATTTGGTCGATCATTGCAATGCTCGTCTTGGAAGCTCGTACGGCCTCATTTAAACTCTGCTACGCAATATTTTACTGTTGAATCAAAAGAACAGACTCACCTAGAATAGAATCCACTTCAGTTTTTATATTTGTTGGGCTGAGGCCTTTCAAATAAAAGGTTTATACCGCATAACGATAACCAATTTTATCCATTTTCACAAATTCGCCGAAAACGTTCGTTATTGATGGCTGCCAAACAAATACCAAACAATGCAGCGTCTTCAAACTTGAAAAATATGCTTCATAGTTTGTGTACTTTCTCATACCGTGATATTTTTAAACAACTACCGCCATCTATAGGTCAGACCAAATGCAAATAGAACAATAAACGATAAAACTGGAATATCTGGCATATAATGAATCCAAAACAAACACTTCTGCCAATCACCAGAAGTGCAATACTTTTTTCGATGCTCGTTTCACCAACCAAGTTGGCGTCTTCAGGAGATGAAGAAAACCCTCTCCTAAAGATCGTTCATCGTTCTATTAGTTCTTGTCCCCAATGTTCTAATTTCGAGTCAATAAACTGCTTGAAATGCCTCGCAACAGCTCTCGTCAAAAATCACCCTGTATAATGAATCAGTTTTCGTGTGAATTTTGAGTGAAGTATCAAGTAAGCAAGAATCACCTAAACTGCACCACCAGTTCTTGACCCTTTGACCCTGTATGTATTCATACACTAACACCAATTTCAACTCAAAATGGAATATTGTCGATGAAGTTTTGAATCCTGTAGAGGTTCATATTCTTTCTCAAAATGAACACTCCAATACTTCTTTGACGTACTGAACTTTCACAATGAAAAAAGCAGTATATCCAGTTTACAAATAATTGGCAAATAAAAAAACTCCTTTATTCCCCAGAAGCTTTTAGATTGATGGCGGAATCTCTCTGAATGAAATAATGAAAACAAACTCATTACAGCAGAGCTCCAATTATAATTCATTATGTAGTGCCTCCGGCCTCTCAGGAAAGGATTAAGAGGATTAGTAGCAAAGAAATTGAGTTTTTGCAATTTGAAGCAGTGCTTTGGCTTATAAGTTCTTTCTGTCGAAAACTCTGGTGCAGATCTCGAACTTTTTATATCTTCGTTCGACAAATTTGTTAAAGTAGATGAACTGGGAAATTCTACTAGGTGAGAAGGGAATGGAAGGCTTCATTTCAATTCATTCTTCTCCAGGTTCTACACCCTTGAAACGAAGTTCAAGTAGCAATTATATAACTCTTCATGATGGATTGAAACTGAAATATATTGTGGGAGAAAATCTACATTACAATTACCTCGGTATACATCAGTCTTCTTTAGAACGTAAATATATGCAATTTTGCAGTGCGCAAAGAATATTAATGGGGGGCTTCAACGAAGTGAGGTTAAGTTGAACTCAGGGCTCTGATGAGCTCAAAAGTGACATCAAGACTGGTCTGAGAATACCATGAAGAACTGAAGTAACCAGCTGATCGAAATAGGTTGATTTCATACTGGGTACCAGGACACTCAGAAATCACTCTCTAATATTTCATGATGCATAGCGTTTGTTTTATGTTAGTGCCTCAGTGACAACATCAATGAAAAAAACAGTCTGAAATGGAGTGCCTTAATCTCCAACAGATATTGGACTAAGGACTAAGGTATTAGCCGTCTAGATAAAATGATATCACACATCTAGACAGACATTTTCCGTTCGGACTACATAAATTCAATCCAAAGTCTATATCGATAAGTCTGCTGTGGATTGATGACCAAGGTTATTCGAATATTTGACCAAATATGAGTTGAAATTCGCTTACAACTTTTGGATATTTTAGACTCAAAATTATGTTACTTTGACTTTTCCAACCGCTGTTATCGCTACGTTTGTCTGTAAATAACTGATTTTCCAGGCGAATTCGCCATTATTTAACGTATATCACAGATTTTGTATGTGCGCATTCGCCAATTTTATGATGTAGTCTCATCAATATCTGTTGTATGCTGTTGTCACAGAAAGTTGAAGAGTTTTTTGCTTTACTCATTGTAAGGACAACATTTATGTTCGCATATCCAATATTCTTTTTATTTTTGTGTAGAAAATCATTATATGAATATTATTTTGATACTTTTAGAAAACAAATAGTAATATAATATGACTTCAATGAAATGACTGAAAAACACTTTTGTCTAATTTCCAATAGACAAAAGAGTTTTTCATTAATTCCATTGAACTGATCATGAGAAAATTAACTAGTAATCAATTACACAGATAATATAATATGTTTATCTTGTATTTTGGATGAAATAAAACATGGATTTCTGATGTTATGAAGACACATGTCATTCTTTCAGTTTCGAATTCTAGAATGGTATTTTGTTGATGTTCTCCAATGTGTCCTTTCTAATGATTCCCAAGCAATTTTATCGCATTTGCCACCTTTTTCACGTTCGAACATTTGTCCAAAATAACACCTTTCCTTTTGTTTCAGACGTGACAGTGGTGTATTATAAGGGTCTTCCCCAAGTAACGGTACCTCTTCCCAGTAGGAGAGAACGATGTAGATTCACGCTGAAACCAATCACGAATACCGTAGGAGAATTTTTAGAAATGTTGAAGAAAGAAGACAAAGGAATAGACAGGGTGGTGTGTATGGCGAAGGACGGTACGAGAATAGCGTCTTCCAATACGATAGAGACTCTACTAGATGATGATTTTAAATTGATCATCAACGATAATTCCTATAATGTAAATACCCCGAAACAGGAAAGGGTGACAGGGGAGGAAATACAAAGGTGAGTAAATTTTGTTATTGAGCAGAATTTGCGTTAGAGACGTGTGAATTTATTTATGTTTACAAAGAACACTGGAAAAAATAACTATCAATTTACCCTTTATCAGCTTTGCACACTCAGCATCAACGCAGAGTAAGCCATAAATTATATGCCGCAAGGCATAACTGCAGGGAAATGCGTCAAAATTGTTTGTAACGAGGACTAGTTTTGACCTGAAACCATTGCAAAACATTCAACAATTTAAGTAAGGGTTTAATCCCCTAAACGTTTTCAAATGGGAGTGATATCTCATTGAAATTGGCTTTCAATTCTCTGGTCATTACTGCTTCGATTTTGAAAATCGGACCGCTCTTTCAGAAGATACAGAGTTTTGAAATTTCTAGAATGTTTTTTTGAAAGCAAGCGAAAATTTGATAGAGTTCACTTTAAAACTCCATATCCATCAAGTAAATGCTGGAAACGGTTTCAGTCAATCTCCATACAGATTATTTGCGAAAACGTACATTTTGGAGTAGCTGTTACATTCATTTATGATTTGTCCTCACAGGTCTATTATTGTGTCAGATCGTGTGCGAAATAATCCGTTTTTTCATGTGATCCCACAAAAAAAAATTTAGGGCTTGAGTCCGGTGACCGAGGAGGCTACTTTTTGGTCCTATCCAGCAGTCTAGACACCTGTCGTTCAAATAATCACATACATTTTGTGAGCAATGTGAAGTAACATCGTCTTGTTGAGGGTAGGTCCAAAGAGTTTATTGTTGTTCGCACTCATTCATAGGCGACCATATAAATCCAGTCTCTTGACGAAGTCGATTACTTCATTTGGTGAGTGATCTTTCAGGCCAGCTGGTAAGAGTGGGACACTGCCAAAAACTGAAAACCTGATCCAGCACACACGCGGTGAGTCAGGCACGGAGTATGTGATCCGCTACTAGGGCTGGAATTTCCTTGTGGAAAATAATCCACTCTAAGGTTGACAGATGATGGTGCATTTTCCCCAATCTAGAGAACCTGATCGGTGGTCAGTCTGCAATTATCTTCATCAGTAAGGTGGGTAACACAAGTGTATGGTTTGGAGAGTAGATATCCCATTACGTATTTCAGTTGGGCACCCTCCCATGGATGCAGGATGTTAACTGCACCCAACAGTCAGGAGACGCTCTTCTGGTTCAGACCGGAATGTGTAGCTCTGGAATCGTATCTGTGGAATCTTCTGATAATTACTCTAGGTTACCCATAGTTGCATATGGAAAAGATATTGCGATTTTCAGGCATATGAGGATAACCGTCTGCTGACCTGCTCAAAGAGGAGTTTGTTTCCTCTCTTGATGTAGAGTTTACTTCTTCTGCTCAAATAATAGATGGAGGACTGCTTCCTGACTGCACCTCCGGTACCAAGAGTTTCTTAGGACTGTTACAAATCGAGAGTTGGGGAACTGAGAAAATTTTTCTCCCGATACTGTGATATAGTTAGAACCGTTGGGGTCATTTGGTCGACGCCCATCACCTCTGTAGACTCAGGGTCGGGTTCCTTGCTTACTTCATTATCAATAAAGGGTCCCGGATAGGAAAAACCAGTTTCACCCCAGCAGAAAGGCGACGGGTGACAAAGGTTTCTATGACGAAGTGATGCTTGGTATCTCGAAGGTTCCGATAGTGTCACGAATTGGACTCTCGAGTCATATATCATTTCGGCACGGACACACATACCTTAGAATGAGGCGTCCTTTGGTAGGACTCTTACCTTCTCGGGTGACACCTCACTTGACAGGGGTATTTTAACGCCCTCCATTGCATTATCTATATCGGTAAGAGCTGAGTCGATATCATTTCGGAGTAGATCCAGATATAAATATCATCTGTTTAATTCTTATTAAGAAAAATAGGACCTAGAACGAAAATCATCTGAGGTAACTTGCATAAATATAATGAAATATAATTCAATGTCCATCGTGGTGTAATCCGGGAGAGTATTCGTTCTCCGGCAGTCATTTACCAGATTCTACTGTGTAGGAATATTGGGAAAGATAAATGTTTCGAACGTTATTTCATAATATTCTTTGTCTCATAAAATCTGTATATCTTATCGAGACAGAATCTTCTCCAACTTCTGTTTGATAACGTATTGCTGGTATTTTAAAGCACCTGAACCACTGAACCGGTTTTTTAAAATGAAGCAAAGAGAATCCAAAGCCACTTTCAATGAGGTGTTTCAGTAAAAAAAGTGGTTGCAATTTTATGGGCAATAGAAATCTATTAGTCGTGTATTACTGATGATTATCATATTTGCTATTCAATGAAAAACTATTCAGTATTATTCTTTGAAGAACATTATTTATTGTGGAGGAAGAGTCGATATTGCTTGAGGTTCACTGAGCTCCTAACTTTCCACAATCTGAGAAATTATTAAATATAGATCAACAGAGTATCTGAGCTCAAATGTAATAAAGGACAAACTGAAAAGTTCATTTCAAGTTACTGCATAATGTAAACTATTGAAGAGTATCATCAGTCAGTAAGTTGTATTCATAAGTTTTGCGAATAGATAAAAACAATTATCGAAATAATAAACTTCTAATCTTTTTTTAAAGGGCCAGCTTTACGGATAATGATCTTTTTTCGTTCTTAAATCCTGAAAAAAATTATTAGTGAAAACGCCTCTTGGCAAACGTCAAACTGAATATTTCCAAAATATACGTTTTTAATAATAATTTTTTCGATTTTCGAAAACTGAAAAGTACTATTTTCCTGATCGAAAGCCGTTTTGAAAAAGGTTAGTTTGAAAATTTTATTCTTTCATTTATTTCATTTACAAGAAAAATTTATAAATACGAGAAGTTGCTGACTAATTATACTATTTAAAAATTTATTATACCAAGAAATAACTTTTTGGGGTGATCTTTTTATTTTGCAATTGTCTGTTGTTCTATATTCATTTATGTTTCAAACTGTGAAGGATCAGACGCCCAGAAAAGCTCAACTAGTATTCATGAATATTTCTACATTCAGATGTATATCGGTTTCCATTTGTCTCTTATTCAATTTATGTATCTCTCCATGGGATTAATAATTCAGTTCTAATGACAGAATCCCGCAGATAACTATTTGAAATTCAATTAAAATGGCATGGAATTAGTGGATATAATTGAATAATGTGTATTTGAAGGTGGATGACAATGTTTCATGATGTATTTCATCAGTTCGCACTTCCATTGTCTAAAATAATATAAATTGATTTGATAACCCTGAAAAAAATCAAAAAGATTAACCGAAAATAACAATTTTATTAAACAAAAAACTGAAATTACAGAGAAATAACATACAAGCAACAACCAAAAAAAACAAAAAATTGAAATGGTAATGAAAGCTGAAAATTAAAAAATATTATTAACAAAAAATGAAAAATAAAAATTGAAAGATTCCAAACCAAGTTATGTCACGACGTTTCGATTGTGAGTATCAACAATCGTCTTCAGATGATAACTGGACTCATTCCTCCGAGATCCGATTATTTATAGGTCATTCGAGTGCTTTCACCTATCCCCTCTTCCCTCTCTCCGCTTCATTGGTTTTAGCGGGAGATGACCGTTTGGCGGGAGTTGGTCGTTTTTCTGCTATTCCGGATTTGCTGATTTCTCCTCGCTGTGTGTGTTTCTTATGCTCAGCAATGCGAACTTTCAATGGCCTCTTAGTTTCACCGATGTATGATTCTCCGCACTCGTAGGATATCCTATAAATGCAATTCTTAGAATCGCAGTCCGCGTTTGATGGCCTGGTTTTCGTGAGGCTGCTACGAATAGTGTTCCCAGATCTGAAACAGGTCCTGATGTTATGCTTGGACCCAATCCTTGTTATCTTTTCCGATAATCCTCTGATGTAGGGAAGTACAAATACTGGTTGTGGCGGCTTCTCTTCCTTGTGGAGCTCTAGCTGTCTTCTGACTGAAGCCTGTTCTACCATCACTCTGGAGTAACCATTCTGTTGAAGGTCATTTTTGATGATGCCTAGTTCCTTTTCGAGACCTTCCTTTGTATTACATTCATCACTTTTCACAATGGAGAAGGAAGTCCACAACGAATTGCCTTTCTTAGACGTTTTGGTGAAGAGGACCGAGAAACATCTGTAAATCGAAAACCCACTCACACAGGACAGTATCTGAACCAGAAATCCAACCACCATCAATCGACTGATAGAGGATTCATCAACACTCTACTAGACCGTGCTTTCGGGCTCTGTAATAAAAAGGAAGGCTTTAACACACTGTATTAGCCGATACATGGGTTTCTTTAACAACAATGGCAAAACACCCGACCTTTTTGCTTTTCTCAGGTTGAATGGGATGAAATCGTAAACTGAGGGATTCATCATAGCTTGCCTGCAATACCTTAGTTTTGTGATGGGTATATTGATTTCACATCAGGAATCATATGAACCGCGGATTAAAGGATCGCTTGCCTTACGGAGCATGTGAGTTGATAAAACGATGGAATGAGTCAGTAGGAAGACAAAATCAAGAAAACATAATTTATGGTAAATTGTGTAAGTAAATAGAAATGTGATCAAATCGCAGTAGTTTTTCAATGCATTTCACTTTTCTAAATATGTTCACTTATAAACAAAATCGACATGTTTAAGCGTTTTTCTTGAACTGTTCGTTTGGAAAAAACTGGGTGATTTTTAAAACTCAATAATATAGTTTATTGTATGATATCCACTACAAAGTGTTTTACAAAAACCGCGACACGTGTTTCGCTATATAATAGCTTCCTCAAGCGTGAATTAATAATAATGGGTAGATTTTGATTGACCACTGTGTACAATTTTTTCAGCTGAGATTTTACATCCGTTATGGAATATGCGAATTTTTTACAGTGAATACACTGACAGAAAAACGAGAAATGTACTATGTTATAACTTCATAACTGCTGAAAAGAAAAGGAAACGGAAGAAAAAGGAGAAGGGAATGACGATATAAAAAACGTAGTCAGAATGGCGCTTTC